CGAGACGTTTGCTGTGAGTGCTGAAGTCGATTGACTCGCAACCCGCGCAGCTCCGTTTCATGAAATGCGACTCAACAATCACCAGCTTGCTCTTGATGAAGCTGGCTGATATCAACTTTTGGGGTCTGCTGTACGAAGGCCGATGCAAGGTACTAGGGTTTGATGACTTTATAATGGTCCTCTAGATATTACATCTAGATTACTTCCCCATACTAAGACCACTGCTCCACATGCACGCACCAAGCACAATATGCGGTCTTCGGTGCAGACTTGCAGCGTCCGGTCCGAACCATCGTAGTGAGGTTGGACCTTACCGTGGTGCGATGGTTTGTGTGCCTCAGCGATCCATTGAGCTATGCTGGATGGTGCTTTTGCACCTTCAGAGTCACTCATACCAGATTGGTCAATGGTTAGAGGCCAGACAAACTCAGCCTCCTCGTCCTCCAGGTGGTTGGAATGAGGGTGTCACCTTATTCCTTAAAACGGACTCCTTGTAGCCCAACGCCAAACCCGCTGCCTTGCGGTAAGGTTTTTGAACCAAAGCCTTTGGTTGAGAACCCTTGTCGTTCTCCTGTCTAGGCCTGGGCAACCTGACAGTATCCTGCCCACGCAATACAATGAATTTCTCGTCAAACAAATTTCTGATGTTCTGGCCACCGCAGAGGATAATCAACGATGCCCTATCTGCTGCATCCAGCAAGGTGGATAGGGGTTTGGATGCTACTGCTCAAGCCTTCCCGTCTTCTTATTCCTCCTCTTACGCTTTTTGCTCTTACCGTCCCATTTCAACTTCACTTATATCCCCCCCCCCAGTTTCCAACCCCCGATTCTTGGCCCTCCCACGACATGCTTTGTTAGGCGTTTATCTTCTAATTTCAACTCATGCTAACGCGGAGCGTCACTCCTCTCCTGTCAACAGGCCCAAGTCTAACCAAGCAGTCCACTCCAGTTCATCGGCCTCACTTTGGAGCCCTCGATTATCCTTCAGGTTGGCATGTCTCAATGTACACACACTGCTACAGATCGGTCAACTGGCAGCACTTGCTCGAACATTGGAGACCCTCTCGATCGATATCTGCTGCTTATCGGAGACCCGCCTGCAAGACTCGAGTGCTGGTCTCACTTCGCGATCCCCTTCAATTGACGCAAGCAGTATTTCGCATCGTGCCTATTCGGTGACGATGCAGCTTGGAGCACGGGCCAGGCTGGTGTTGGCATTGCCCTGATTCCCCGTGCTGAAGCTGTTCTGGTTGATTGGATTCCAATCAGTAGCCGGATGTGTGCGGTCCGACTGGCTGGCTCGTTCAAAGCTTCGAAGTCGCGTATGACTAACAAGTGTCTATGCATCATCGCTGCCTACGCGCCCACAAACTGTAGCGATGATTCGGTAAAGAACGACTTCTACCGCCAACTGATTTAGCTCCTTCGCCACAGAAGAAGCACGGACACTGTTGTGCTGGCTGGGGATCTGAACGCACAAGTTGGAAAGTTGTCCACGGATGAAATGCATCTGGGCGGTCAGCACGGTGTAGGCACCCGTAATGATAACGATGAGCGGTTACTTCATTTGTGTGGAGATGCCAGCTTATTTCTTGCGAGCACTAACTTCCGACACAGCACCCGCCAGAAGGTGACTTGGCGCCCACAAGCCTAAGACGTATATCGATCATATTGCGATAAGTTGACGATGGAGAGGCTGCGTCCAGAACCGTCGCTCGATTTGGAGCACATGTGTGAACACCGATCATACACTTGTATGTGCTGACCTGCGGATGCGTTTTGGCGGACGCCCGCGACGATGTTGTGAGCGCATTGACACCAGCCAACTGGCGGAGCGAGCTGTTCTGAATGCGTATCAAAGTAGGCTGACATGCGAGTTGAGTAAGCGCTCACTGGAGACAATTGATGGTCACTGGTCACTTGTTCACCAGACCTTAATAGCAGCAGACAAATCCTCATGTGGTATGTCTAATAGCCAACATGGTTATTGGGTCTCTTCGCAGTCTCTGGAACTTATGGATGCTCGCCGGCATATCCCTGCTGGAAACGAACACAATGAAACTCGCAAAAGGCTCCGGGCAAGACTTCGTGCTAGCCTGAAGAGAGACCGCGAATCTTGGTGGTCTCACCGTGCGTCAGTGGTCGCTGCCCTTGGCAACCATCGTAAGTTAATCCGTCTGATACGGGAAACGTGCAACAGGAGATCTGGTGTTAGTGAAGCTATACGTGAGGAGAGTGGACAGCCTATCCACAATTTGTCAAAACGTTCGGAGCGTTGGGTTGAGCATTTTGAAAAGCAATTTAATCGGCTATAATTGTTCGATTCTTCGCCAGCCAGTGATCGCCCTGCTCCGTGGACTGTCCTTTTGGATCCACCCTCTCGCTCAGAAGTCGAACGTGAGATCGGACTGTTAAAGTTGAAAGCCGCGGGACCAGATGATCTTCCTCCAGCCCTCTTCAAATTCTGATGCTCTGCTTTTGTTGCTGCTTTACATGAATTTCTAGTGAGACTGTGGGAGCAGGAGGCTGTCCAACCGACTGGAGCCGCTCCGATATTGTTCCCATCTTCAAAGGCGGCTCGCGCTCGGAAGGCGGCAACCATAGAGGGATCAGTCTGATCTCCATCGCCTCCATAATTCTTCACAGACTGACTGGCGCTGGTGAAAGCCAGATTCGTGAGGAGCAATCCGG